CTCAGCCCTCTCCCTGCCCCACGGGGCCACCCCACCCTTCTTCCCAGCAAGCCACTGGGATTTCCCACGGGCCACTAACTGGAGCAGCAGGCGGCTGGGAAACAGGGTCCGAGGGGGACTTGAGCTGCAGGGATGTGGGAAAAGGGGTGGTACAGCTCAGGGACACCTTCCTGGAGGTTGGAACCTTCTAGGAGGGACAGGATGGGGGACGAAAGGGTGCCAGCTAGGGAGGCTGGAGGCTGCAGCCCTCGTTGGGTGAAGAGAGAATGGCGGCCTGGGAGGGGAGGTTCTGATGTTTGGCCACCACCCACCCACCATGGGCTTTTAGAGTGTGGATCTAGGAGGGGAGGCTAGGGCAGGGAACCCCCATCTCCTTGGCCAGATGCACCACTCTTGCATCTCTTACAAATCCAGGGCTCCTGACTCACACACCTCTTCCGTCCCACAACCTTCTATTGGCCCGGAAGTCCCTGATCAGCCCTTCCCACGCCCCCCCCCAAGTTCTGGTTCCTTTATTGTGTATGCCCCATAGCACCCCAGATCTCCTAACATGTCTGTAGGTATCTGACACAGATTCCCAGCTCCCGGTGTCTCTGTCCTACTGCTCCAGAGCTGGCTGGCTTCCTTGTGGTCCTCCTACCCCATCTCCTACCTTGGCATCTGCAGCAGTCTGCAGCCAACTGGGTGAAAGTTCAGATCTCCCTCTTCACACCCTCGGGCTGGTTGCTGGCTTCCCGCCCTTTAGTCTTGAGGGCTCCGGCACCTCCCCGTCCCACCACTTTCCCTCCCCTCCCCAACCAGGAAGGGTCCATTACACCCTCCCAAACCGTAGCCCTGGTATGAGTGGCTTCTGGGTGGGGCCCGCAGGCATAGATCCAGGCTGGGGAATGTGATGGGGAAGGGGGGTTCATGTGTAGGTTTGGGGACTCCAGGCTCGCCCCTGCCAAGTATGGGAAAGTTCAGAGCTGAGGAGACAAACAGCTGGTGTTAATGGAAGCCACATTGGTGGTTTGGCGGGCTGCCTGTTGTGATTGGAAGAGAGGAAAGTAGGGGAAAGGGGAGCTGCTTCAGGGACCAGAAAATGCCTCCAGTCATCCGGGCCCGCCCCCACTCCCACAGTGTAGACACATTCACCCCGCGACCTGAGCCTTCCCCTCCCCCTGCGACCTTTCCCCTACTTTCCGGGCTGGGCTGGGGCTGGGCTGGGGCTGGGCTGGGCTGGGCATGGGACGGGCTGGGGGCGGGGACTTCCCCGGTCTGCCGATGTGCCCTGGCCATCCTTCCGATTTTTCCTCCCTCCTCCCTCCTTCCCTCCTCAATCCTTCCCCCTTCCTCTCTGATACCTGGGACCCCAGGCAGGGCCTCTGTGGTGTCCCCAAGCCCCATCCAGGCCTGATTCCCCTCCCGCCACTGGACAAAGCAGAGACCCCTCCTGTTTATCGCAGTTCTTGCCCCATCCCCACTCTGGTCCAGCTCCTTCAGTCATTCCTTCATGGCATCTTTAGTAAACACCTGCTGTGGGCTGGGATCAGCCTGGGCACCGGTGCCAGATGGTGGGCAAAGAGCCATTCATTGTCTCTAGCCTCATGGACCTCCTTCAGTGTGGGGAGTTGGAGAGAGACCATCAGATGACCCCAGTGTTGGGGAGTAGGAAGTCCTCAGTGCCCCTAACCTGGTCTGGGTGGGATAGTCAGGGACATGATCCCTTTCAGAAGCTGGGACCTTTAATATGAGGCAAGGAAAGGCATGAGGGAAGTGGGTCTCAGAACAGTAGCACGTGCAAAGTCCCTGTGGCAGGAGGGGGGTGTGGTACCAGGAAGGCTATGTGGCCAGAGGGTGGGTGTGCAGTGCAGGAGGAGGGAGGATGGGTATAGCAGCCAGTCCTGGGGTGCCTTGTAGACTGTGTCGAGGAAAGGCATGGGGTGCTATGGAAGAGTTTAGGCAAGTGGGGGGGGTGTCGTGAGCTCTAGATTGCCCCCTCCCATCCCTGTCGCCTGCTGCCCAGCCCCCAGACATGCCTGTTTCCTGGAACCCCCAAGGCTGCTCTCTGCTTCAATGCCCCACCCTTGTCTGCCCTGCAGGACTGCCCAGGGACTGCCAAGAGCTGTTTGAAGAGGGAGAGAGGCAAAGTGGATTGTTCCAGATCCAGCCCCAGGGGTCCTCCTCATTCCTGGTTAACTGCAAGATGACCTCAGGTAGGGACGCTCTGGCCCCCCAGGTACCCCAAATATCATGGGCCCGGTTGTCTTTCTGTCAAATGCAGCTCACCCCCCCTCCCTCCCTTGCTCCCTGCTTTCTCCTTCCCTGCTGGATCCTTGGGACAAAGATCCAGGCAGAGCCCTCCGCCTGCTGACCAGCCCATCTTCCTCCTTTAACCATCTTCCTCCAGTCCTGCTGGGATGGATTAGAGGAACATTGCTCTCCCTTGGTTTAGAGGTGGTTTGGGGTTTGGGAGCCAGATGGGGGAGTCAGGGTCTCTTGTAAAAAGAATCCTTCTGGTGACTTTGCACCTTTCTGGGCAGATGGAGGCTGGACTGTAATTCAGAGGCGCCAGGATGGCTCAGTCGACTTTAACCAGCCCTGGGACGCCTACAAGGATGGCTTCGGAGACCCCCAAGGTGGGTGTTTCCTGCAGGCCAGAGGCACAGGGGGAGGAGGGGGCCACGGAGGTGGGTCGTTCTCACAGATGGGCCTTTCCCACTGTAGGTGAGTTCTGGCTGGGCCTGGAGAAGGTGCACCGCATCATGGGGGAGCGTGGCAGCCACCTGGCTGTGCAGCTGCGGGATTGGGAGGGCAATGCCGAGTCATTGCAGTTCCCTGTCCACCTGGGTGGCGAAGACACAGCCTACAGCCTGCAGCTCACGGCGCCCGTGGCCAGCAAACTGGGTGCCACCACCTTCTCACCCAGCGGCCTCTCCCTGCCTTTCTCCACTTGGGACCAAGACCACGACCTCCGCGGAGACAAGAACTGTGCGAAGAGCCTCTCTGGTGAGCAAGCAAGCTCTGTCCCTCCTTGTCTTGCCCTTTGCCACACAGCTGGGACCTCCCCTCCCTATCTTTCTGCATCCGTCCCCTGCCTTCAACTCCATCTATTCCCTCCCCACTTTTCTCCTTACGTGCAGCATACCCTTGGGCAACTGACTTAACACTCACTTACTCCATCTTCAAAATGGGTATAACCATACCGTCCACACCATAGGATTATTATGAACATATGATGAGATGACGTTTGTGGGATGGTGGCTGGTGTGTGGCAAAGCCATCGAGACAGACCCCATCTTGTTCTAATGAAATCGGAGGCAGAGCCCGGGCCCTGTGAAGCGAAATATATGAAACTGCCTTTTGGTGGGTCAAAGAAGGATGGAATAGTGGTTAATTTCATATGGTTCAATCTAATATAAACTAGTGAGATGCATGACAGTCATAGAGAGGCTTTAATAAATGTTTGCCATGTGCCAGGTGCGGAGAAGTCACTCGCCAGGGTCACAGACATAAAAGCTGCAGTTACCGGGAAGTGGGGTACCCAGAGCTCCTGAGGTGCCTTTGTCACAACCTGGGGTTTCTCAGAACACAGTTTGACAACCACTGCCAAAGACATCTCATCTAAAGTGTGTGACATCCAACACGCAGCCTCATCCCCATCCCGGGCCCAGTGGAGGCCCAAGGACCCATGGGCCTAACCAAGTCCCGTTTTTTCTGACCCCGGCAGGTGGCTGGTGGTTCGGTACCTGCGGCCACTCCAATCTTAATGGCCAGTATTTCCATTCCATCCCGCGGCAGCGGCAGCAGCTTAAGAAGGGCATCTTCTGGAAGACCTGGCGGGGCCGCTACTACCCGCTGCAGGCCACCACCATGCTGATCCAGCCCACAGCGGCCGAAGCAGCTTCCTAGCCTCCTCGCTGGGGCCTGGTCCCAGGCTCCTGGAGGACAGGGACTCTGATTCTGGCCCAGCATGTGGCCACTCCCTGCCTGGGCAGGGGCTCCGAGCAGGGGCCACCTGAAACCTCATGGACAGAGAAGATGTCCACGACTGGAGATGCCCCCACGATGAGTGGGGGGCTGCAGGAAATGCCCTCTGAGAAGAACAGAGCTGCAGGGCTGCAGGGCACAGACCCCGAAAGCGTGGGACACGGGGGCATTGAAGCCCACTCCTCGCCCGCCCGAGGAGTATGGGATGCAGAGGGACCACTCGGGGGCAGCCAGGCCGGCCCTTGATGGCGGATTCAGTCACGTTGACTGGCTGGGGGACCAGGACTCCCATAGGCCCCGGGCGCCCTTGTGGTGCTGTAGCGTGTGGGTGCTATAGGCGAGCCTGCGCCGACGGCATCTGGGCTGAGCCCACGGAATTCTTGGAATAAAAACAACCTCAGAACATTTCGTTCCTTTTCGTCCTTTGTTTTTGTTTTAAAAAGTGGACAGTTTTCAAAGTCCACATAAACATGTTCCCAGGGTGGAGGGTGAATGCTTCCGGGGCTCTTGAGGGCAACGCTGGTTATCCCTACCACCTCTGACAGCTGATTTCAATTTCCTTCACTTATGATTTCATGATGTGTATCTCATTTTTTACTTTCAAAGTTACAAAATAAAACCCTCATTCAGTCCTTCTGGAAGCAGGTAATAGAGAAAATAAGAAGCTCTTCCTGACCATACTTAGGCATATGAATCACTATTAACTTTTTAGTGTCCTGCCATCTGATAGAAATATGATGTGAGTTGTGTGTTTAATTTTTTTTGTAGCCACATTTTTAAAAATATTTATTTATTTATTTTTGGCTGTGTTGGGTCTTCATTTCTGTGTGAGGGCTTTCTCTAGTTGCGGCGAGCCGGGGCCGCTCTTCATCGCAGTGCGTGGGCCTCTTACTGTTGCAGCCTCCCTTGTTGCGGAGCACAGGCTCCAGACGTGCAGGCTCAGTAGTTGTGGCTCATGGGCCTAGTTACTCCGTGGCATGTGGGATCTTCCCAGACCAGGGCTCGAACCCATGTCCCCTGCATTGGCAGGCAGACCCTCCACCACTGCGTCACCAGGGAAGCCCTGTAGCCACATTTTTAAAAAAGAAAAGAAAAAACAAAAGTTTTACAAGAAAGTAAAAAAAAAATTTAGGAATATACTTCATTGAATCCAATATTTCCAAAATATTACTGTTTCAACATGTGGTCAATATAAGTTATTGATAAAAAAAAAGTTACTGATGAGATATTTGACATGGCTTTTTGTACTGAGTCTTCCAAATTCAGTATGGATTTCACACTTATGGCGCATCTCAGTTTGGACTGGCCGTATTTAAGGGCTTAGTAGCCACAGTGGCCAATGGCCACCATCTTGGACAACCCAGCTCTACTGTGTGACATTAATGCAGTGTTTTGGGTAAATTCTTCCCATTTTTGGCCATGTCTGCAGAAGTTTTCCTTTAAATTGGCTTTAAAATATATATATATATATATATATATATATATATATATATATCTTGGGACTTCCCTGGTGGTCCAGTGGTTAAGAATCCACCTTCCAATGCAGGGAACGCAGGTTCCATCCCTGGTCAGGGAGCTAAGATTGCACATGCCACAGGGCAACTAAGCCCGAGCGCCACAACTAGAGAGCCTGTGTGCTGCAACTACTGAGCCCGCGCGCTCTGGAGCCTGCGTGATACAACTACAGAGAAGCCTGCTGGCTGCAACGAAAGGTCCCACATGACTCAACTAAGACCTGATGCAGCCAAAAATAAATAGATATTAAAATATATATATATGTATCTAAATTTCAGCTAATATTTCTTGAGCACCTACTACAGGTCAGGCCCTGTCCCAAGTGCTTGGGATACTCTAGTGAACAGAATAGATCCCTGCCTGCACCAAGCTTGCCTTCAAAGCCTCTCCCATTACAGAGAAGGTGACCTATAATTGATGGTCTAAACTGGAGACACTGTTGAGAGTGAAAGGGGGGGTGTTGTTAATATTTAAGCCAGATGACAGATGTAAAGCAGCTCACCCTCAGGCATATAGGGACTTACTGACCCAGTTTCTAAAAATGTAGTCATATATCTTACAGTGTGTGGAAAACCCTGCCACAAATAGGTTAGTAAAACTAAACTCGGTGAAAACAAAACAATGCAAATGCTTTCAAATTCCAGCTAGAGGGAATTCCCTGGCCGTCCAGTGGTTAGGACTCCATGGCTTTCACTGCTGTCAGTGTGGGTTCAATCTCTGGTGGGGCAACTAAGATCCCACAAGCCCCGCCGCCAGGCCAAAAAAAAAAAAAAAAAATCCAGCTAGAAAACTGACCTATGGTGAAAAATCCCCCCACAATAAACGAATAGTGGTTGCCTCTGGAAGGGTGGGAGGTGGGATAGGGATTGACTCGGAAGGGATATAAGGGAACTTTCCCAGGTGACGGTGATGTTCTGAACCTCAGTAGAGGTGGGTTACTCCCATATTCACCTTTGCCTTGGTGAGTATACACTTAAGATTTGTGCATTTCATTGTATGTAAATTTCACCTTAAAAAAAAAGCTACAACAGTCATAAAAAGACATGGAACTCTAGTTAATGGTATGCATGCTGAAGTGTTTTAGAGGTGCAGTGAACTGATGTCTTCAATTTTGTTTTTTTAAATTTTTTCCAGCTTTATTGAGATGTAATTAACACACAATAGGACTTCTCTGATGGCGCAGTGGTTAAGAATCCGCCTGCCAATGCAGAGGACACGGGTTGGATCATTGGTCCGGGAAGATCCCACATTCGGCGGAGCAACTAAGCCCGTACTGAGCCTGTGTTCTAGAGCCCACGAGCCACAGCTACTGAAGCCCACGCACCTAGAGCCCGTGCTCCACAACTAGAGAAGCCACTGCAGTGAGAAGCCTGCACACTGCAACGAAGAGTAGCCCCTGCTCACCGCAACTAGAGAACGCCCGCATGCAGCAACAAAGACCCAATGCAGCCAAAAATAAATTAATTTTAAAAAACATAAAACATTGTGTAAGTTTAAGGTGTATGACATGTTGACTTGATACACATATACTGTGAAATGATAAGCACCCTAGCATTAGCCAACGCCTCCATCACATCACACAATTACCTTTTCTGTTTTGGTGGTGAGAACATTGAAGATCTGCTCTCTTAGCAGCTTTCAGGTACAATACAGTGTTACTTGTAATCACCATGCTGTCCATTAGATCCCCTAAATCTTCAACTTCCTTTGAAATGCATCAAAAAATTAGATGACGGGTGGCTAGAGAAATGGATATGCAATAAAGCAAAATGTTAATAGTGCGATCTGGGTCTGGGTATTCTCTGTACAATTCTTTCCATTTTTCTAAATGTTTAAAAAATTTCACAATGAAATGTATGTAGGGAAGAAAATCCTGACAAGATCCTGTTGCCTTCTAAAGGCTCTCATCCTTCATCTGAGCTCAAAAAGGGAGATGAGGATTAGATAATTGTTGAAGAGATATGAGCAAGAGAGAGTGAGCCTCTCTCCTTAATGGGTAATAAAGGTCTTCAAGAATTGAAAAAAAAGGGAGAGGGATAAATTAGGAGTTTGGGATTAGCATATACACACAACTATATATAAAATAGATAAACTACAAGGACCTACTGTGTAGCACAGGGAACTCTACTCAATATTTTGTAATAACCTATAAAGGAAAAGAATCTGAAAAAGAATATATATGTGTGTGTGTGTGTGCGTGTATACTGAATTACTTTGCTGTACTCCTGGAACTAACACAAAATTGTAAATCAACTATACTTCAATAAAAAATTTAATTCATTAAAAAAAAGGAATTGAGGGCTTCCCTGGTGGCACAGTGGTTAAGAATCCGCCTGGTAATGCAGGAGACACAGGTTCGAGCCCTGGTCGGGGAAGATCCCACATGCCACACAGCAACTAAGTCCCTGCGCCACATCTACTGAACCTGCACTCTAGAGCCCGCGAGCCACAACTACTGAGCCCGTGTGCCACAGCTACTGAAGCCCGCGTGCCTAGAGCCTGTGCTCCACAACAAGAGAAGCCACCGCAATGAGAAGCCTGCACACTGCAACGAAGAGTAGCCCCCTCTCGCCACAACTAGAGAAAGCCCATGCACAGCAACAAAGACCCAATGCAGCCAAAAATAAATAAATAATTTAAAAAAAAATTTTTAAAAGGAATTGAAAAAAGGTAGGACTTTCACAGTATGTGGTTCAATGGTATTTAATGCACTGCTTACGATTATCACCCGTATCATATGGCACATTATCATAGGGCACGTTTGGGAGAAACAGCATTTGCCTGTGCCCTGAGCCCCAGCTGCTGTTTTAATAGAGAACCTATTTTTCCAATATTCCTAGGGGTTCCTTGGGAAGGTAGTGGGGGCCTCTTTCACTAGAGGAGAGCCTCTGTGTTGAGGACACACTAGCTTCCCTGGAGCCCTGGCTGAGCATGGGTGACGATCTCCTCAACACTTGGAGGCCAGACCCTCTTCAGGATCCTTGTTCGGGGGTGCTCTGTATCGGGCAGGCTTGGAGGGTCTCCCTTGAGACCACTGTGGCTGAACTGGTGGGGAGTCCAGTCTGTTGAGGTGGGGGCAGAGCCCTCCCAGTTATGCACTCTTTATTCTCAGGTCCTGCCAAACAGGGCTGATTGCTCCAATGCTGCTGCTGCTTCTGCTATCACCTCCTCCTCCAACACAGCATTTCCTGCCCCTCCATCACTGGGAATGACAGAAAGAGTAACCACCATGGCTGGGAACCAAACAAGAGCCAGGAAGTGAATCCTGACCCAGCCAACTTCAGAGCTGGCGCTCTTAACCATATCACTCCCCTGGGGAGGGGCCAGGACAGGACACTCAAGCTCTGTGGCCTCAGCTCCTGCATCCGGAAAATAGGGATGGTCTGGTACCCCACCCTCCCATCCACACCACCCCTTCCTGTTCTCCAGGTGCTGTGAGGATTTCATGTAGCATTACATGAAAAGCAGCCTGAGTAGCGTTTGACTCAAGGTGAGCACACAACATAAACGGGAGCCATCATTACTAACACTATCGTTACTAGGAGCCATGCTGGATGGGCGCGGGAACAACATGACCCAGACAGGAGAAATGCCTTCATGGTGGAGGTCACTTTTGAGTCAGTTTTTTTTTTTTTCTTCTTATTTAAAATCATGTTTATTAAGAAGGTTTACTTTTTTAAAAAGCATTTATTTTATTGAAGTATAGTTGATTTACAACGTTGTGGGGTTTTTTGTTTTGTTTTTTTTGGCCATATGGCTTGTGGGATCCTAGTTACCCGACCAGCGATTGGACCCAGGCCCTCGGCAATGAAAACACGAAGTTCTAACCACTAGACCGCCAGGGAATTCCCTACAATGTTGTGTTAATTTCTACTGTACAGCACAGAGATTCAGTTATACATATACATATGTGCTATATAGTAGGACCTTCTTGTTTTTTTGTTGTTTTTTTTTAAGGCCTTTATTGAATTTGTTACAATATTACTTGTTTTATGTCTTGTTTTTTTGGCCCCAAGGCATGTGGGATCTTAGCTCCCTGACCAGGGATGGAACCCGCACCCACTGCATTGGAAGGCGAAGTCTTAACCACTGGACCACCAGGGAAGCCCCGACCTTCTTGTTTATCCATTCTATGTATGATAGTTTGCATCTACTAATCCCAAACTCCCGATCCATCCCTCCCCCATGAGTCAGTTTTCAAAGGATAAAAATTCTACAAAGATGGGGGAGGGGTGTGGCACCGCAGGAGGAGAGCACTGTTTGAGAGCAAAAGCCTGGCTGCCTTGGAAGGAAGCACAGCTCCTGTCTGGAGAACCAGTGCATTGCCCCACCTGGCTGCAGCGAGAGGCAAGAAGCTTGGGTGGTGAATGCCGGTGGGGTGGGGAGGGGGTTTGGGTGGGAATGTGCTGGGCTTCAAGCCAACAGCCCAGGAGTATGCAAAGGCCACTAGGGTCCTCCCTGGACTGGCTTCCAGCCTGCCTCACCTTTTCCCCTAATCTCATCTCTGGGCCCTTGGACTCAACTCTCCAGCCACTGTGGCCTCCTGGCTGTTCAGAGCCATTGGGCTGTCTCTCACTTCTTTGTTTTGTCTGTCTAAAATGCTGTTCCCACCACCTCCTCCCCCTCCCTCGGACTCAGTGTAAATGCCACCTCCTCCGGGATGCCTTCCCTGCCTCCCTAACTAAGTAGATCCGCTGTCACATAGCCCAGTTTATTCCTGGGCTCACTGCACTCTGAAATTTCTTGTGCGTGCTGTTGTTTACTTGCTTCTTGTCTGCCTGTTCCACTAGACTGTCAGCTCCCCAAGGGCTGGGACTTGGTCTCCTTCAACTCTGCATCTCCAGCCCATAGAGCATTGCCTGGCCTGACTTATGTTTTAAAAGACCCTCGGGGGTGGGGGGGATAAATTAGGAGTTTGGTATTAACATATACACACTACTATATATAAAATAGATAACCAGGGACTTCCCTGGTGGTCCAGTCGTTAAGACTCTGCGCTCCCAATGCAGGGGGCCCAGGTTCGAGCCCTGGTCAGGAAACTAGATCCCGCACGCCGCAACTAAAAGCCCACATGCCTCAAAGAAGATCCTGCCTGCCGCAACTAAGACCCGGTGTAGTCAAATAAATAAATAAATAATTTTAAAAGTATATAAATAAATAAAATAGATAGCCAACAAGGGCCCACTGTATAGCACAGGGAACTATATTTAATATCTTGTAACAACCTATAATGGAAAAGAATCTGAAAAAGAATATATATGCCACTGAATCACTTTGCTGTACACCTGAAACTAACACATTGTATATCAACTATACTTCAATTTAAAAAAAATAAATTTATTTATTTATTTTTGGCTGTGTTGGGTCTTCGTTGCTGCGCACGGGCTTTCTTTAGTTGCAGTGAGAGGGGGCTACTCTTCGTTGTGCTGCACGGGCTTCTCATTGTGTGGCTTCTCTTGTTGCACAGCACAGGATCTAGGTGCGTGGGCTTCAGTAGCTGTGGCACGCAGGCTCAGTAGTTGTGGCGCACGGGCTTAGTTGCTCCGCAGCATGTGGGATCTTCCCAGACCAGGGCTTGAACCTGCGTCCCCTGCATTGGCAGATGGATTCTTAACCACTGTGCCACCAGGGAAGCACCCCCAATTTAAAAATATATTTATTTATTTATTTATTTGGTTATGCCGGGTCTTAGTTGCAGCAGGCAGGCAGGCTCCTTAGTCGTGGCATGTGGGCTCCTTAGTTGCAGCATGCAGGCTCCTCAGTTGTGGCACACAAACTCTTGGTTGTGACATGCATGTGGGATCTAGCTCCCTGACCAGGGATCAAACTTGGGCCCCCTGCATTGGGAGAGCAGAGTCTTAACCACTGCGCCACCAGGGAAGTTCCTATACTTCAACTTAAAAATACATAAATAGGAATTGCCTGGGGTCCAGTGGTTAGGATGCAGCTTTCATTGCTGAGGGCCCAGGTTCAGTCCCTCGCTGGGGAGCTAAAATCCCACAAGCCATGCGGCGTGGCCAAAAAAATTTTAATTTAATTTAAAAAATAAATAAATAAAAGACTCCATGTGGCTGCTATGGGAAGAACAGACTGTGTGAGGTGAGCTCAGATCAGGGAGCTTTGGGAGCAGGAAACTACACAGGTCCGTGAAGTGATGACAGGGCCAGTATAGGGGTGGTGGCAGTGGTGAGGGTGAGAAGTGGTCAGAAATATAAGAGGGAGGAGGGACAGAGTAAGGCAACTGAGGGAGGGGTTGGGAGAGAGGGGCAGGGGAGTAAAGGATGAGGAGAGGGGAGTCCACCACCTCTGGCTTTGATGATGTGGGTGAATGGATGGAGTCACAGGAGGAGGAGAGGATATGGGAAAAAGAGGCCAAATTTGTGTTTGGGATGCCTGATGGACATCCCAAGGATGAGGTCCAGGAGGCAATAATAATTATTATTATTATTAGCACATGAGCTATACTTACATGATCACTAATCAAACATTTCTGTGACTTTCCTGGTGGTCCAGTGGTCAAGACTCCGCACTCCCAATGCAGGGGGCCTGGGTCTGATCCCTGTTCAGGAAACTAGATCCCTCATGCCGCAACGAAGATCCCACGTGCCATAAGACCTGCGCAGCCAAATAAATAAATAACTATTTTAAAACAAAACACAACGTTTATTGCCCACTGGGGACACAGCAGTGACTGCCACAGACACAGCCCCTGCCCTCACACGGCTGATGTTCTGTTGGTGGGGGACAGAAACTAAATAGGATTGTGAAAATTTAAAAGAGGAAACCTTAACTAAAACTGGAGTCAGGAAGTCTTGCAGAGGGAGCTCTTATGCTCTGCCACTCCTCAGTTACCCCAAACAGGAAGACATCAATTACAGACCCCAATCAGAAGAGATGTACGTACCTTGCACTCCCAAACAGTAACTGCAATTACTTTACTAAAACTGGAGAAGAGATTTTCTTCCCTCCCAGCAACAAGCCCAGCCAATGGAAACACCACAACTTAGCCAATGAGAAGCTGCCCTCACCTGAACGCTTACTTTCCTCCGAATTAACTTTCATTTCACTATTGTCCATGACTTCTTGTCTCACCGTCTTTTCTATAAAAGGCTTCCATTTTGTACAACCTCTGGGAGTATCTCTGCTTGACAGATGAGATGCTGCTTGATTCATGAATCTTTTAATAAAGGCAATTAGACCTTCACACTTAGTAGAAGTTTGTTTTTTAACAGGATCGAGAAAGAAATGCATACTTTAATGTCAAGTAGGGATAAATCCTTGGGGTGGGGGATGGAATAAAACAGGATAAGGGGACAGAGAAGGGCAGACAGTCTGACACCGAGTAAGGATTTACAAATATTTGTTAAAGACTTAATGACAGACAGTGGGTGGTTGATTTAGTATGTGTTTAGGTCAACGATCTAGTCATACTCCAAAGATTCCATAAGGTGAGTTTCTCCCGTTTTACAGAGGGAGAAAACTGCAACCCAGAGAGGAGAGGAAACCTCTAAGCTAAAAAAGTCCCCACTCCGATGTCCCCCCAGAAACTGCCATTTCTGGGGGCAGCGGGCGTGGGGGGTGGGGGTGGGCGGCCCGCAGAGCAGCGCGCATTGACCTATGACGTCATCGGGACGGTAAATAGCGTAACACTACCTGGACGTAGCCCCATTTCCCCTCCCGGACAGGTCCTCTGCTGGTCCGGTACTGTCTGAATCAAACCCCTCATTGGCTACTCTCTCCGTCAATCCGTTTCATTCTTCCAGTTTTCCTCCCCGCCTTCCAGATCTCGCCTGTGATAGGCTGGCGAGGCCGTCACTTCATAAAGGTCCGCATTCCTTCCGCCTTTCTCCAGGAGACCGAGGGAGAAGAAGGTGGATCTCCGGCGGCGCCCACCCCGGGGGCTCTGCTTCCGCCTCTTATTGGCTTCTCTGGGTGCCGGTCGCTACGCCATCCATCGCTGATTGGCCATCCGGCCGCCACTCTGCGCGGCGCCGGCTCCGCCCCCGTCGGGTGTTTGTGGTGGGGCTGCGAAGTCGCCAATCCCGCCGGAAGCGCCAGGACAATGGGGACTCGGGACGACGAGTACGACTACCTATTCAAAGGTGCGGTTGGTGGGGCACAGACGGGCGAGCGGGCGGCGGCGAGGCGCCGGGCAAGCACCCAGGCTGCGCTCCAAGCCTCTGGGCCCAGGCCGGAGCCCGAGGCTTGGGGCCTGGCAGGCCAGGCAGCCGGGATGGCCAGTGCAGGCCGGGCTTGGTCAAGTTCGGGCCGGGATGCGCAGCCATGCGGGTCAGGCTGTCCAGAGAGGTTTGGGGGCCCGGGATGCTCCGAGGCGGGGCCAGGGCCCAGGGGGGTGGGGCCCGGGGCAGTGGGAGAAGCCGTTAGGGGCGGGGCATTCAGAGGGGGCGGGGTCGCCCCAGCATTTGGCGGGCCGGGCTGGGTGGAAAGCTCCCTTCGTGATGGGGGCGTGTCCGTTAGAGGCGGGGCTATGATGTGGTGGGCGTGTCCAATAAGTGGGCTAGGGTGGGCGGGTGGGGGTGGTGCTCTCATGGAGTAGGAGGGGCCAGTCTTGATTGGTGGCAGTGCATCTGGGGGCGGAGCCCGGGAAGGGAGGGGCGGACAATGGGGGTTGAGGTGCGTGTGTGGCAGGGGTGGGGGTGTTTACCCTGGATTGGGGAGCAGAGTCGGAATTGCGTGTAGGGGCACCTGGGGTGGTGGCGGGGGACTGTGTGTGCTGAACCCAGGCCTGGTGGTTAACAGCAATAATTATGTCTTAACTCTTAGAGCTCTTGAGAGCGCTGTCCAAGCACCTGCACTTCTCTAAGCACTTTACACACATGAATTCATTGAAATCCTCACCACAACCCTGTGAGATCCATATTATCCAGCATCGCTCTTTATGGACCTGGAAACTGGAGGGACAGTTTAAGTATTAAAGCAAGATTTGAACCCAGACCACTTAAGGAGTGTATCTGGGGGGACTTGTGGCCAAGATCTGGGACTGGGGTTGTCAGACGGTCTCCTCCAACCTGCTGGAGGATCTTCCCTGCCAAGGCAACAGAGGACTCTAGGAGCCTCAAGTAAGGCCTAGGAAGGTCAGGCAGCTTAGGGGTCACTGACTTTCCAGTACCTTCTCTGCGAACCTAGGCTTTGGCCAGGTCCTGTGCTGCTGTGCTGGGCTCCCTGGCTGGCATTGGTCACCCTTGAGAGCTAACCCCTGGATGCACACAGGACACCTTTGCCATGCTGCCTGCTGCGTGAGGGTGTGCTTCCCATGCCAGCCATTGACATCTTTCCCTCGTTGGGGGAGCTTGGCCATCCCTGGGAGTGTGGCCTGTGTGACACTGTGTGTCTATGGTATTATCCCTGGTTGGGTCTGGGGTTCTGGGGACCTTGGGAATGTAGAAAATGGGATGGAGCACTTCCTACCTGGGATATCCACGTGGTAAAAGGTTTCTGGGCAGAGCGAGTCCCCATGCAAAGGTCCGGAGTTGTCACACAGCACCATGGGCTCGAGGAGCTGCCTGCAGGCTGATACGTTGCTGCGAAGTGAGGCTGTGTGGTCGGCAGGCATTGGGCCCAGGCCCTTGTGCCGACTGAACCTTGGGGTCTCACTTTAGAGGCAGAGGAAGCTCTGTCAGGGCCTTGGGGACGGGTGATAGGTGGACTGGACGCCAGTCCTGCTGCAGCTGGTGCTTGTCTCTACCCAGCCCACCCTGAGGCAGCTGCTCCCCAGGTCCTGGCTGGCACCCACCTGGATGTGTTACTACAAGGGCAGGGGGCGTTCCTCCCAGTGTTTCCGTGGTCATTCCCCACTTGTTATTTTCAGCCGTTTGCTGTTGTAAATAACCCAGCTCCAAGTGTTTGCAAGAGTCATCCTTTGCCCTTTGGGTTATTTCCTTGAAGTATGTTCCCAGAAGTCCAGTTATTGGGTCAGGGGCAAGGGAGCAGGCTGTGCGCTTCTCAGGATTCATCTCCGGAGTCCTCTTCCTGGAAACACTAGTGCCACAGCGGTGTGGGGGGGGCGGGGGCGGTGCCTGCCTGCCCCGTTGCCCTCTCCCACTGGGCTCCTTTTCTGAGTAGAGCAGGTGCCCTGCTGACTGTCTCAAGCCAGGTCAGAAGCGAAAGTGTAACTCACAAGGTCAGCGTTTACCAAACTGGTCCTCTGAGACCTCACCTTCACACGTAACGCCTTGTTGGAGGACCCTCTATTATCTTTTAATATTTGTTTGTTTGTTTTTATAAATTTATTTTTAATTTTTGTCTGTGTTGTGTCTGTTGCTGTGCACATGCAGGCTTTCTTTAGTTGCGGCGAGCGGGGGCTACTCTTCGATACAGTGCGCGTGCTTCTCATTGCAGTGGCTTCTCTTGTTGTGGAGCACAGGCTCTAGGCGCATGGGCTTCAGTAGTTGTGGCACACAGGCTCAGGAGTTGTGGTGCATGGGCTTAGTTGCTCTGTGGCATGTAGGATCTTCCCAGACCAGGGCTTGAACCTGTGTCCCCTGCATTGGCAGGTGGATTCTTAACCACTGCGCCACCAGGGAAGTCCCCTAATATTTGTTTTTAAATCCACTCAGTTTTTGTCTCACTTAAATAGGAAAAGGAAATTCTTTCTGACTCATAGAAGGAAGGAAGGAAGCCAGCAGGTAGGCAGGCCGCCATCATGGCATCACTGGCCATAAATATGGCAGGTAGACTGAAACGTGAATACACTGCACCCCACAGACCCTCCTGAGACCCCGTGGCCTGCAGAGGGTCAGGCCTAGGCAGTACAGAGGTGTCCAGGACACAGCTGTGCCAGAAGGGTTGACAAGGACCAGAAGGGTTGACAAGGACCGGTACTCTCACCGTACATCTCCCCAGCCCTGCTGCCTGGTGCGGGGAGTCCTTCAGGAGTGGAGGGGGGATGTGATCCTCTCATCCCCCATCCCGTGCCCAGCCTCCCCCAGGCTTCAGTCACCTTCCCCTGGCCCTGCCCTGGGCACAGAGGGGCCTCACCTCTCACGTGGGACACTGGCTGCCCCCCCCCTCCAGCCTTCCCACCACTGACTTGCTTTTTTTGGCAGCCACGTCACAGGTTGGCTCCCCTGACCCCCCAGCAGAGGCCAGCAGATCCCTCTGGGTGTTCCACCCCACCCCCCACAGTCCCCGTGTGGCTTGTTTTCCTCCCTGCTCATCCCCCCACCCCCCGCCAGGAGTGAGGTTGTTTATTTGTACCTAATTATAGATCCTCACATTTATCCTGCTAACATTTTATCCTTTTCAGCGAAGGGCCATTTTCCCAGCCTGCCGATCAATCCCCGGGGGCGCCCAAACTCTCCTCTGATGGACTGGGCGGCAGGGGCCACGGTGCGAGCAGCTAGGTCCCCAAGGGCCACCAAGGCCTTCCCAGAGCTCCCACCACTCACTCATTCCCAGGGAACAGGCCGGCCCCAGTGCTCACCAGGTGCTCCCGAGGCAGCCTCCTGGCTCTCCAGCCTGAGCAGACCTCACACCTGGCCAGCTGGTCTGGGACCCGAGCACACCAGCTCCCCCCATTATGAATGGTGGCCCTGCCTGTGCCCTGGTTTGGGGCACCTGTCCTCTGCTCTCTGATTCCCCCGGGGAATAGCTCTGGCTCTTCCTCCCCTGCCAGTCCCTGGGGCCTGGGATCTGCAGCGCCTGCTTCCTGGGGGAGGGGTGGAGCCCTGCTCTGCCTGGAGTCGGGGAGCCGAGCGCCCCCAATGGCCACTCGGTGACCTGAGTGTCAGAATGGGGGCCCCAGATGTGCCACGCTGTCGTGGGGCGGGCCAGAGGACCAAGGGCTTCCAGGAGGTGCCAGCTCTTTGTTTTTGCCAACTGGGCTTGCCTGCTCTGCCAGCCAACTGGTGTGCCCAGGGGGACCGTGTCCCGGCCAGTGATGCCACCAACTCCTGTGGAAATGCTGGGGGCTGCGTCCTCAAGGGCCCTTTCTTTCCTGGAGACAACAGATGACTTGTATCTTCGACAATGCCATTTTCATTCCCAGCCTGCACACGGGACCAGCCCGGCCGCTGCCCTGCTGGCCACTTCTGCATTGGGCACCGCGTGCCAGGGACTGCGGGGCAGCCCCGCCTCCCCGCCATTTGTCCGGGCAGCGGCTGGTGGCCGTTGTTCTGCTCTGGCCGGCCTTGGGCCAGGGAACTTGGTCACTCTGTATTGAGCGTCTCCAACTGCACACGATAACATGAACATCTGTCGCTGGGGTGGCCCTGAGAGCTCCGTAACAAAGCCTTTAGGGCTGGGCCCGGCCTGAGGGGCTGAGGAGATGGTTGGCTGGGCCGGGGCAGAACCCCGATGTGGCAAAGGGGACCCCGAGGCTGGACAGCTGGACAGGGCTGGGAAGGGAGTGAGAGGGTGGGGAGGATACAGGCAAGGGCCCAAAAGGACCCTCCTCCTCATTTCCTGTTCTGTTCCTGAGGATATGAGAAGTATGTACAGACCTCCCTGGCTTTGGCCAGCTTCCTGCAGCTGCCGTGGGCACGAGGTGACGGGGTGAGAGTGTGGACGGTCAGTCCAGTCATGGCCCCACTGGCACGGCTGG